GGCGAGCATAGAGCATGAATCTGTAGTTATTTAACATGATAAAGTGTATGTGTGTAAGGCGAGTACAAAAGTGTGAGTATTTTAATTGAATATCTGTTCGATGTTTATTCGACGCTGCTGGGGCTATGGACTGCCCTTACTGTTGTCAGACACTTAAGCCACCTTAAACTGGTCTGCAAGAATGAATCATTGAGTTTTATGTTCATGAAAATCAGTTATGCAAGTGCTCTAGCATGATTTTTAGACACATGCATTTTTTCCGATAACATTTTAAACGATGTATTCTTATGTAAGCTTACATATCCGTGGGTGACCGTCAAAACCTGGACCGTCGACCTGGGACCGCAAAACGCTGGAGCCGTCAAAACTGGACGTCAAAATCTGGACTTCTGAATGTGTATTTATTTTTTTTGTCGTTTGTAGATGTGTCTAGCCGTGTTCTTTGCTATATTTATGCTAAATAAATAGATAATTAAGATAGGTCATCACTGACTATCGCTAGATCCTAGAATGACATGTACGTGCTTACTCATGAATCTAATAACTCGGGGGGGGGGCAATTGAATTTAGATTATGTTTCACTGAAATTTTGAGTAAATCGATTGGAAAAATTTTTTGGCGCGACATTCACTCGGCGAGAGAAGTACGCGAAGTCTAATTGCACGTCGTACGACACGTAGTTTGTAGTAGGTGGTAGATAGCAAGATATGAAAACGATGTACAGGGGGTTAGGGTTGGGTAGGTTAGGGTTAGGGGTTAGTGGTGGTTTAGGGTTAGGGTTAGGGTAGTCTGTGACACATGGACGGTATCCAGGTTTTTGACCGTCAGGTCTCTGACGGTCCAGGTTTGACAGGGAGCGCATATCCGTGGGGTACATAATGTACATGTTATTACATTCACTCATTTTACAGCTTATTTGGTCAGAAAATGGATGATTTCTTCGGTTTACTTTTTTGTGCTCTCCTACATTACAGTATAAAATTCTTAATTGTTGGTTGGCATATTGACCCTAACCTCGTTCTAACACTGCGCTTAACCGCATTGAGCGAGATTAATTTCATGATTTTGTGTTTTGGGGCTGCATTTCAGAGAGTGATCTCTGAGTCCTGGAGTTATATCACATTTGAAATTTTGGTACCCGTATAAGGAAAAGCTCTAATATTTCATCTAAATTCAAGTCGATCTATCTTCCGCTGCTCGTAGTAGACATTCGTTATTTTATTCATACCTGGGTCACGCACGAAAAGCGAGGCTAAGCATAGGCAATTTTTAAACAATGGCTGCTTCAGGCAGGCACGCACAGAGGGGTAAACGCACTTTGTACAACGCGGGTCATGTAACGTACACGCACATACAGCGGTACACGGCACGTAAGACGCAGGTACATGCACGTAACGCAGGTACCGCAGTGCACGGCGGTACGCGCAAGGTACACGCAGGTAACGGCACGTCAGCACGTAGCAGCCCGAGATACAGCACGTCCCGTAGATTACGCGCACGCACGTACACGCACGTACACGCGGGTACACGCACGTACACGCAGGTACACGCACGCACACGCACGTGCACGCGGGTACACGCGGGTACACAGAGATACACACGCGCACGCGGGTACACGCACACGCACGTACACGCAGATACACGCACGTACACGCGGGTACACGGAGATACACGCACGTACACGCGGGTACACGCACGTACACGCGGGTACACGCACGTACACGCACATACACGCACGTACACGCGGGTACACGCACGTACACCCACGCGGGTACGTATGCGGGTACGCGCGTGGTAATGAAGAATGGTCTATTAAAAGGGACTCTAACTAGCTCTAACTTGTGCAGGACACTAGCGCCGACCAACGGCAAAGAAAGGCGTACTTATTTTACTCGACGTAGCGAGAAAAGGAAAAGTGGAAGTAAGTGCATGGCAACTGGAAAGTGAGAGCCAGTGGGAACTAGTAGAACCTAGTAGAACTAGTAGAAACAGTAGAACTATAGGTTTTGGATAACTAAGGGATATTTATTCGCACTTTAAAACATATGATTACTATTATACTATTACTATTATATATAGTAGATGTTATTATTAAATAGTCATTATATATTATTATTATTGATATATTTTAGCAGATATACAGTAGTAGGCAGGCGCACAAATACGCCTGCCCGCATAATCTATCACACGTTTTAAGGGCGTTGTGAACTTGTGATGAATTAGCACCTTATAATCAAAGAAGTGAGTCATTAGGATTAACATTCCTCATATCTAAGTACGTAGTTCATGTGCGCACTATACATGTGCGTAATTCCCATTTAATGCCCATACATATTCTTTCTCACGCCCGACACTAGCGCCGACCAACGGCAAAGAAAAATGTATATAATTTCGCCCAGCGTTGCCTGGAATGAGGACATTACATTACATCAGTAGTGATAATAATAGATTAATTAATAATCTATTATTATTCACTCCTGATTAATAAGAACACACGTCTAATAGTTAGCTTGACTCAATAGTGAGTCTGGGGGTCATATATTTAAACTATTGTTTCAACGTGCGCTTAGTAATATCAGAAGTAGACAATAGGGAATTTATCCCTATTATCTACTTCTGGTAATATGTAATAATGTGTAGTGTTGTGTTACGTTAAAATGTAATGTTTACGTTAGAGACAAGAATGCGTGGGACAGGCCATGATTACGATGTGCGCGAGCGCCAGGGAGCCGGGAAGAGCGGTAATAGAGAGCAGCCGTGTATAGGTGTGAAAATATTAGGCAGACTTGTTTGTGTGTTGTAGAGGAGCATTTGAACGGCATTTACAGGAAATTATCGGCAATAATAGGTGAAAGAGAGTAGAGAAAAGTTTGGTAGTAAATACATTTCGTGTTTATTTACCATATCTTTTTTATTGAAACGTTCCAAGTGCCTGTGAGAGAGCGGGCGTGTGGGAAAGTCGGATGGAGCGGCAGATAGCAGAGGTGCGAATAGTCCGGCAGAGTGAGCAGAGGGAAAAGACGTGTGATGGTAGTCGGAAAGAGCGACAAAAGAGGTTATTACACGTTTCGCTTAACTATTAGCTATTCTACGGGTTAATATTGTAGCCCCTGGCGCCGCTCCTCGTCCGTCTCTCCCCGTCGTGTGCTGCAGCACTGCTGCCGCGACTCGGCGCGAGTTCGTGGGATGGCAGCGTGTCTCCTTGTCCGGGGTAGGCTATAGCTCCGGGCCCCTCCCTTATTATAAGATATACCTTCTCGAGCGGCGTCCTGCTCGTGTGTGGCTCTCCCTCCGACGGTGTGTGTGCGCTTTCTCGAGCGCGATCGTTCGCTCCCTCGAGCGCAATCGTCCGCTCCCTCGAGCGCGTTCGTTCGTATCCGTCCGAAGACCGGCTAGTTGACTCGTGCGTTCGTGGCCGTCCGAAGACCGACTAGTTTTACCGTTGAATCTTGGCTGCTTATATAGAACCCTGCGGTGACGTAGGATCCTGGCAGTGCCGCCCTCTCACGTGCCTCAGGTGCCTGGGTGTTGTCACCCCCCTCGCTTGAAACGTGTACGGGTGACGTACGCCGGCAACCCCCTTGGTCCAGTATATGCACGAGCGTCGCACCCTCCCACCTCCTGTCCGCCACGTGCTCGGCCGGTGCAACCACAGGCACTTGAAGCGTTTCAATAAAATATAATGCTAAATAAATACGATATCTAATACTAGTAGGCCTACTACAAAATTCTTAATGTTTCTATACTCTCTTTCACCTATTATTGCCGACAGTTTCCTGTAAATTCCGTGTAAATGCTCTATGCACACACACTACCCAGCCGCCATTGCCGACGACGCCAATATATATATATATAACCCTGTTTAAATTTTGCTGTTTTTATGGAGTAAACTGAAAGGATGTCTTCATGTCTGCAAATTTAAAAAGGGTAAAATTTAGATCTTTCCAGAACCACAAAAAAAACAGCCGCAAATATTTACCGGTTTACAATATGCCATAGTCGACTGGCCAAACATTCAACTCCGTGCGGAGCACGAGTATTTGCTAGTATAAAGTAAATACGTAGTTATTACTATTGCAGAAATTGTGATATTCTGTTGAATTTATACATTTAAAAGCGAGAATATATATATATATATACTTATGAGAAGCTATTTGCATATATATATATATATATGTAAATGTTTTTATAGCTAAGTATATCTATCGCAATGTCTGTTTAATGATTATAAGATGTCCCGCTCCTTTCTCCCAATTTTCCTAAATAGTGGCATATATATAGCCTATATCGAAACACGATATGTGAGCCCGCATGCCCTAGCTGTATCTGCTATAAACAATAATTAATTTGTTGAATTTATACATTAGAGAACATGGTTACTCACGATTAGTGTGGGAAAGGGTAGTTTAAGAAACGGTTATAACAAGCGGCGAGGCGGTAGACGAGAAAGAGGATGGAGAGGCCGGTAGAGGAGAAGGAGGATGGAGAGGCCGGTAGAGGAGGTGTCAGTCGCGTTCATAGTTACAAGAAACCAAGTTTTATACATTTTTCTATTCTTTCTTTTTACACATGCCCAATGTCTGCAAAATATATATTCTGTGGTTCTGCTGATATATTATTATGGGATTATACAATATAAGTAAAGAACACATGCTCGGGAATATTTTTGAGAAGAAATCAAGAAAAGACGCGTGGTGGGGGTAGGGGCCTGACAGGTAAATGATTGAATGGAGAAGGAAGAGGAAGGTAGCGATGATGTTTTTGCGAACTTTACTTGCTGAGTGAAAAACACAATTACGTATTACGCGATTACATTTATGTACTGGTTCAACCATTGATAAAAAATGGGCTTCAGTCAACACGTACGTACGATTTTTCTCGCGAGTTGGGAGATACTTTGTCGGATAACATTATGATGTCATTATCTCATTAAATCTTGGTTTTCATGCTGTTATACTAGCCTTAATTATTAGAGAAATTAAACGTCCAAACTGCGACACTCTTTATAAGAATATACATAGTTTGTTTTATTATCGTAAATCTATACAAATGACTAGCTACAGAAATCCATGAACACAGCGCCATCTCTGCATAGAGGCAATGAAGTACAACTGATTCCCGTTTCATAGCAACACATCAAGACAGGCATCTAAAACATTTATATACAAAAGCGTAGGATTGTTGTCATGTGATGGGAAGATAGGCAGTGTGGCAAAAGGAACCTCTTGCAGAGTACGTATCACTTTTACTCTGTGCCAATTAAGGCGCTGCAGTATGGTGGCTCAGATGTAGCTATCATAACGATCACCGGTTATAATACCCCGGGCCACCAGAGAAAAAACACAAGAGTTGGTGATAATAATCTCCCCAGCCTTTCGTGAAGACTTTATAATGGCCATTTGGGCCACCACGCATGCAGCACTAGAGGTCATTCTCATAACGTAGTACAGCGCCATGGTACGTGCCACGTACGGTGACAGCAAACAGCATATATATATATTCACTATAAGAACTGAACAACCACAAACTCACCAACAAATCTTGTCAGCATTATATGCAGTATAGTGCCTTGCATTACGTAAGTACGTAAAACCGTATGTCGTGCGAAATTTTGTAACGTAAATCAGGTTTTCATGCTGGCTTCCATTATAATATACGGGAGATGTGATCTTACAGAAAATCGCTTAGCGAACAGAAGCACTGAACTGACAATTATGAATCCAAGTACAAATTATAAACGCATACATTTAATTATTATTTCATAATAAAGTATAATACAGTACGTACCACGATAATACTGAGGGAGAAATTAAGGAAGCTGAAAAGAAAAATTACTGGGACGGAGAGGAAATGCGGCTATTATCAACTGGTTCGCGGTCATATATGACTATCATTGTGATGTTTTGGTGCTTCCGGCTCTAGACCAAGAAGTTATGAGTGAATTTCCGTTTCGTATCCCGAGTTTAGTGATCATAACTTACAAACTATGTATAGGCGAACTGTTGTATACCGAATATATAGTGGTCAGAATCTACTATAATTATAGTCATGTATGAACGAATTTATGTAACCCGAGTTATCATAATTAACGCGGGGTATTACGATATTACAAAAGAATGCTCACCGGGGCAACATTACACGAGAATCAATGATATAATGTAGAAACATGTTGGTTCTGATTATCACGTATCACGGCATATGGCACACTGCTAAGCTAGTACGCCGCATGATTGCATGGAACACGGGCATGTTGGCATGTCATACGATGGTATAGAACACCGGCACACGTACTGCATGACATACAGGCACGTGGCACTGGACAATGGCAAGCTGTCGTGTAGCTGGATGGCATGGAATACTGGCCAGCTGGAATGTTGGGCAGCATGGAAAATGGGCAAGCTGGGTACATGCTGCATGCTCTATGGTAACGTATGCGGGGAAGCTGTCATGTTGCATGACAGCATGGCCACTAGAATGCTGACGCGTGCAGAAAGGCGCGTGAGGCCACTAACATATGCTATAACATCTGTCATGTGGCGATATATAAAGGCACATGGCTCATGCTGACATGTCATCTGACAGCATAGGACACTCACAGACTTCACAACGTGTCACCTGTCAGGCTGACAGGTGATGGCAGTCGTTCAAATGGCATGCCATCATGCAACTGGGTAGCATTGAATACTGTCTAGCTGGCATATTTCATGACAGAACGTTAACGTGTGGCTAGTACGGCACACTGTCAAGTGGGCCTATTGCGTGCATGATGACATGATATACTAGCAAGCTGACATAATAGCTTGATTGAATGGGATACTGTGGAGCTAGTATGATGCATGATGGCATGGTACACTAGCATATTATCTCAGTGCTCGCTGCCGATGTGGATCGAGTCACTTCACGGAGCAGTTGCTGCTGTGATCTTCTAGTGCTGGAGAGGCATTTTATGGAAGACATCTCTGTAATCTTGCTATATGTTCCCTGGCTGAAGGCTATCAGTATCAACCTGGCTGAGGCTTGACATATATCAGTGATCCCGTCGTTCTCACTGGTGTTGTGAAGTTGTTCTTTAAGTGGACAATTGTTCTTCCTAAAATGCATTATAATGAGCCAATTCTGTCCTAACTTGTACGATATCTCCCCTAACTGTGCTATAGCCATCTATATAACGCATCTGTGATTATATCTTTTGCATGAAATGTTAGGGCAAATCTGTGGTTGAAATAGAAACACCTAGAATGCTAGTTTTGATGATAGTTTTAAACAGACAGTAACCTTTATGAAGCACTCTGTTCATATGGTGGTTGTACATTTTTAGTAATGATAAAATCTTTCCATTACTAAGGCACATGCTTGCTACCGGGCCCGGCACAAACAAAGAAGCAAACAAAAGACACACTTATAGTGCCAAAATACATTTTCACATTCCGAAAGAATCCAAACGATTCCCAAAAGAAGGTGTTATAGAGTTTTTTGGCTGTTTGCCTATTACCGTTACATACCTGTCCATGTTTTCTCTTTTGCCAAGATGAATGCCTTACAGTATGTGTCAGCGGAACACACCTCCTCAGCTTCTCGTACGTTAAAAACAGAGAAACTGCATCCATTAGCTGATAGTGTCAGCTGGCATCGATAGTCAAACATTCCCGGTAGATCCGCATCGTGAATAACTTTATACACTGTTAATATACATTAAAGAACATATTAAAATGGGCATGTCAATCGTTTATGTTCAGATTACACTGTGTAACATTTTAACCAGGTACAGAATATTGATCTTTATTAGGTTTGTCCCAATTACATTTAAATCTTACTAGTAATTCAACAGCCACCAAGTGTTTTACATTTAAGCACTACATAAATTATTAACCAGGTTGTGAAATGACAACAAAATCAACACAATCACTGCTCATTACGCACTATGTTTTACATCGTGACTTTTCTCTGTTCTCTCCTATTGTGCACTTACACGTCCTATGCTTTTTGAGAGTAGAATAATCCAAGTATGACCCGTTGATGTACATGTGAGCCAATGTCTCAGTAACCTCTGACAGCTGCCGTGTGTTGCCCGTCACGTTCGTGTAAATCGAGCTCAACTTCATGACTAGTGGCAACAGTGACCTTGGCACGCCGTGTTCCAAGAAAAACGAGACGAACTGTCGTCCGCCGTTCATGATGTTCCTCCGCTCATTGAACTCGGAGCAGCAGTGATTGATGCATTTGCCACCGAGTGTGAGGTTCGTATCCGGGTGTCGCTGTAGGCAGTCAGCTTCCTCGTTGCATGTCGGTTCCCCCGCCGTCACATCGTCGACGTCGGCCAGCTTCAGTACACCGTCAACGAGCACAAACTGCTGCCGTCGGAAGTCGTTCATCGCTAACGAGCCATGAGATGAGTGCGCAAGCTTGACTAAGATACGTGCCATGCCGAGCGCCACCTGTATATATCATGAGCAAATCAAATCAAGATGGCTGGCTGACATTTTTACACGCTATTCCACTTGTTATTCCCAACATAAATGTGTCTTTTAGTATTTAGATTTCAAGATATTATATAACATGAATATATATGCATTGGTCCATCAAAATGCTACTATGTGAATTAACATCCTATATAATAATGTACGATTACTAATGCGTGTGCATTTTCATCATGATACGGAATAAAGTGTGAGAATATGCTATATATTGCAAGATGACACAAAAATGCAACAGAATTGTATTGTGCACTGTACAGTATATATATATATGCTATCATATGGGTAATGGTGCAAATGCAGCAAAAGCATCCTGCTATAATCAGGATATAATATATCATGAATTAATTTACATATCTAGCAATCAAGCACAAAATGCATATATATATATATATGTATTATAAAAAGATCTCTGCATAACACTTTTAATTGATTAACAAGTATTGCATATAGTTTTCTGATGTGAATCAGCTAGATTATGATAATATTTGTGATTTACATTGTGATTTTGAATTAATTGCATGGCGATTCAATGTAGGTAGGCCCTATATATATATTGCTATATGAACCTCAGCATATATATAGCTAGGACAGCTTGGCTATAGGCCTATATATATATTAGATATACACACCTAAATCCTAATCCTAGAACCAAACAATCATAAGTTGACATTTCAAAATGTTTATGCAACAACAAAAATGTATCACAAATGTTCCTTTGTATCATTTTATAATAATATTGCATAGCATTTTGTGATACATATAAATATATTGTAAACAATTCTTATAGGTCAGTCATAGGTCAGATATAGTACATATCCACACATCTACATGCAGTTATACGGAATATTATACTTACCCGCAGTCTATCCTCCCATGACATCTGCAGCAACTTAATGATGTCCACTGGCTCCCCAAGCTCTGTTACCATGGCAACGCCTTGCACATTGGGCCAATTTGTAAAAATATTGTTTGGGATGCAGTATCCGTAAACCTAGAGAATAAACAATTTGCGAGTGAAATGAAGCGAAAAACTTAGTTTAGCCGCACACAGAGTGACATATTGAGCCAGTGTACAGTTGTACTAGCTGCATATTACAAGGCACATATACATGCACAGTGGGGATGCTTTCTAACAGCACATGAGTGTAATATATACCAGAGCAAGTGAGAAGATTTTTCTTGGAGTACGTTTTTGACAAGTAACATAATATTTTGTTGGAGTTTTCAAGGAATTACCAATGCTGCTAGACCGTATAGACGGTGCATATATAGCCCACAAGTGGCAGCTGAAATAACGGTGTCTTCCCGTTTCGCCATTTTCCCACTTCGCCATTTCCCATTTCGCCATTTCCCATTTCGCCAGTTTCCCATTTCGCCATTTTCCCACTTCGCCATTTCCCATTTCGCCATTTCCCATTTCGCCAGTTTCCCATTTCGCCATTTTCCCACTTCGCCATTTTCCCATTTCGCCATTTTCCCATTTCGCCATTTTCCCACTTCGCCAGTTTCCCATTTCGCCATTTTCCCACTTCGCCAGTTTCCCATTTCGCCAATATTTTATGTTGCTTCCACCCCCTGCACGAAATTGATCCTTCCATTCTTAAAAAAGAGTTGTTTCTAGGGTTAGGGTTAGGGTTAGGGTTAGGGTTAGGGCTAGGGTTAGGGTTAGGGTTAGGG